TGTTATTAATATTATAATAATTATAATAACATGTATAATAATAATAATAGGCGGTTCATACAAAATCAAGGAAAGATTTAAAATATTTTGAAGAAACCAGGCTTTGGGACCCTCCTGATCTGACTAAAATTGATGATACGAAACTATTGCAAAAATAAAAAATAAATAAACATATTGTAAAATACAAAAATACAAGTTTCATCTAATATATTTATATTATTCTGAATCCGTTTGGCGAGATTAGATTGGTAATCTTTCCACAATAGATTTTAAAATTAAATTTTCTTATGTAACTGTTCATCCACTGTGACAAGATTTGCAAGTAATTATATAGAATTTGAATGTTTCTAAAGCGATCTTATTAAATATCGGTGGCCCTATAATTTCTTGGACTGTAGCAATAACTTCATCTTCATTAAGCATTTCAGTTCCTAAATCCGAATCAATTTCAATATAACTTCTTTGCTGTGATGAAAATGATGTAGATAATAAATATATTTATTACAAATAATAAGATATTGCAATAAGCCAAGCCTATATTTATTAAAAAATAATGTTGAATCACATTTACTATAGTAATAAACATTTTACATTAAAGTTTTCAATCCATCACAATTAATTTTTTCCAATCTCTTATACTCATTCAAAGCACTTTTTGAATGGTTTATTTGAGAAAAATCGAATTTCAGGATGTTCAAGTTATTCAAGGAGCTTGCTCTTCTCAATGCTACATATGCTTGGCCATATGTTCTTATCAATAGAGATGGTTATATGAGGGTAAGGTTACAATGGGAAGGCATTTTGGAGCAGGAATTGTTTTCTGGAGTTCTTTTTCCATCAATTTCAAAATGGGTTGTTTCCTTTTGCACTATTACCTTGACTATGCTGTTGAGTGTAACCTCAACATCCATCAGCCTTGTTATCACACCCGCTGTTTCATTAGATCTATTTTCATTAAACATTTTATTGTCCAAGGACATCACACGTGCACCTTCTTTAAGCAAGTTAGTTAAAGTGTTTAAATTGGTGGGTGGTGTGATATGATCTTTGTCTAATATTTCAAAGTTTAAATAACTTGTTGACCTTGTTTGCAGCTTCACGTGTTCCGTCAATATGCGTGCTAGAGATCATCAATAACATCCCCTGCATCAATTTTAGTCATGACAAGTCATTTGATAATTTACCAACTCGTATTTCTTGTAAAAACTCAAATTGTTTTGTTGTCTCTGTGGTTTTGTTAAGAATGATCGCGATTGGGCATTCTTGACTAATGTGGAAGGTTTTTTTTAGGATAGAATTAGATGAGTAGGACTTTTTCAAAATTTATTTTGGTGTTTATCAATTACCTCGAATTACAATAGATTTGCAGGATTTTTTTCAAAATGGTTAATTTTTTTTTAGGATATAGCGTAGAGAAATATATTTCTAATTTATATATAAATCTGGGAAAGGTGTTTATTTACACCAAATCAGACTTTAGTTTAATGTTTTATTTCGCGTTGGTTAACATTTTGTTTTAGTATTATTATTACTGTGGCATAGTAATAGTAATAGATAATAATAAACATACATATGTAATATTTTCTGACACTTCCCAGTGGTGGTAAAAGTGACTAGCCTTATCTCAGGTTCTACAGTGCAGGCAAGTCTAGTGGTGAGCGTGTAACTGTTATGATATCAAGTAATAGTTGTTATGTTGTTACAAAAAAAATTATTCAAAACGCAATAATTTTTTTAGTGTCACTGGTTTGTGCCAGTTCGTTATAGAATTCAAATTAATGAAATGGATCCTTTTATAATCGTACCAGAGCCTGAAATATATTAATATTAAAGATAAAGAATTAGTTTTTCCGGTTCTTTTTAGAAAAATTCGATTGAAATTATAGCATTAAAAAATATTTTTATTATCGTTTACAATAAATTTGTGAAGAAAATATCACAAGTAAAGTGGTTTCTAAGCTAAAAATGTTCTTCATGGCAAATTATATATTAATTAATATAGATATAAAATAAAATCGTTCAATTGATTAAAACTATTCTCTACTATTAGGCATTTAATAATGTACAACAGCCACAAAATCACCAACTAAATAATAATGATGATTTGATTGATTAGCTGCTTCAATTTTGTAATTTCATAGGCCCAATAACAAATATTACTCACTTTGAGAAATAATTATGTCATCTGATCTTTTAATAGCATAACATTAGAAGAAGCAACCCAAAATAAAAAATTATCATCAATTGTTAATTCACATGGTGAACTAGTTTCTTTACTGGGAAGATCCAATCATACATGATGGCGAAAGTCATTTGATAAAATTCGAAACTTTCGAAAAAATCACACAAGTTTTCGAAATCGAAATCGAAATTCAAAATTGAAATCTAAATTCAAAATCAAAATCGAAATTCAAAAAATTGAAATAAAAGCACTTTAAAGACATTAATGCAAAAATCATTTATTAATTTCGATTTTCGAATTTTGATTTCGATTTTCGATTTTGATTTCGAATTTTGATTTTTTCGAAACCTGTTAGGGTATATTCGAAATGTTTGAACCTTAATCGTCGAAATTATGTCGAAACAAAACTATTTCGCCATCATGTATGATTAATGCAAAAATGAAAAAAAGTTATTTATTAATTTCGAATTTCGAATTTTGATTTCGAATTTCGATTTTGATTTCGATTCTCGATTTTTTCCAAACCTGTTAGGGTATATTCGAAATTTTTGTACCCTAATCGTCGAAATTATTGTCGAAACAAAACTATTTCGCCATCATGTATGGATCCAATCAATCTATTAGTAAATATTCAATTTTCCATTGGCTGATTTTCTAATTCTTCCACCCTCATATATATATTATAATTTACTAGTAATTATTTTCCATGGATATTATTTTCACCAAGATCATAATTTCCATTATGAGTTGCTAATAGAAATATGCCTGTCTCTTGTATAAGATTGTTGTCAGTATCACTGTTATTCCCATTGGTATTGACCTTAAATTTAACAAAACCTATATTTTTTCCAAATAATTTTTCTGTTGCAATAATTTCTTTAGATAAAGCGGCAGTCCAGTCTTTAAATGGTTGAAATTCAAAAACTGGTTTAATATTAATTGCTTGATCTTTTATGCTAACAGGGATTGAACGTCAAGCAATTTTAAGAGACATGATGTTTCTTATAATAGGGTTAGTTGCTACTAATTTAATAGTATGAGTGATATTTTTAAAATTAGTATTAATCTTTCTAATAAAAATGTATCATTTATTATTATTCATAAAATGTGATAATTCGAACTTTTGCGTGACAAAATTGTATTGTATGTTTTCCAATCCTATATGAGTTGTGAGGATCTAATACGAATAAAATAAGATTTTATAGCAGAATTTAGCAGAATCGCAGGCAGAACTTGAGTAGAAATGAGCACGACCGCTGCAGATTTTGCTTTTTTTCGCCGCAGAAATATGTGGAGGTGTAACGTCGTACATTAGTAACTTTCCGCAGGTAGTTTCTAAATTTGTTTCCGACAAATTTAGAAAAAAACCTGACAGTAATAATAATAATAAAGTGATGTTGTGTGTCATGGATAAATCTTGGAGATTTTGTTTTTTTTTAACATACATAAAAAAAAAATAAAACGAAAAATAAAAATAATTGAACGACGACAAACAACAAAGAAAAAAGAAAAAAGAAAAATATCCAAACACAAACGGTTTGAATAGGGTCGTTTACTCACGCTCAGGCAGATCGGAGATAAGAAAACATTTAATTTATCATCGCAAATTGTTTAATCCATTTCAATTACTCATCTTAATTGGCTAATAGTGGCATTATCATGGTTCGGACGAGACCGAGCTATTTTTTATCACGAAATTCCTAGTTAACATCATAATAGAGTCCAACAACACACCGATAATTTTTTATTTATTAATACATCAATTAATCACACAAATCGATTGTTTATTAATAACACACGCACACGTCCTCCGCAATATGATTCAAAGTATCATGTTGTATCAAATGTCGATACTAAGAAATCCGATCCCACAAACTCCTAGAATATTATTTGTTTGAACCCCGCTGTCCGCAACCTACACACACTACAGCCCCATATTGTTTTATTATTGGTCTTAACATTCTTTACGAACGAAGATGTGATTGATTTGAGTTCATCACGAAAAAAAAAATAAAACATTCTCAAGTTTTAATCATTACAGGAAAATCATACGGGCTAACCTCAAACCTTTATATATCTGTGAAAATAATGATACGTCTAGCTCATCTTAAATCAGATACAGAAAAAAGCTTTAAAAGAATAGACGATTTGTTATATGAACATGTTAAAGTGAGCATATACAACACCATCAACACGCATTTACATGCAATTAATTTTAACATCGTTAGTTTAAAGTTTTCAAAAGCTTCATTTGATAAAAATATATCAATATTAGCATCAGTAAAGAATTAAATAAAGAACATGTAAACGAAAGAATAATAATATTTAAAAATAGTAATATTTAATTATTTAAATTGAGAATTTCAACCAGATTTTTAAGAATAAATCATAAAAACCGGATTTTTAAAGTAAAATTTCGATCCTTGGTTTTATTTGGTTTGGATAATTAACAAAATGCAGATCATCTAATCTGCAGTATTGACGTGGATGATAGCAATAGTTACATCTAACCCACCTTAAAACTTTTTTAAAGGCGACGATCATTCTCATGAATCCAAATCCAAACATTCAAAAAGCGTTTTCAATAGCAAACACCTTGAAATTTTAGCCTCTGCTTCCTCAAAAATTATGTTTTTAAAAATGAGTCTGAGCTACTTAACATTCAGCAATCATTGATCATTGAATACTGAATATTGAATATTTTTTTGATTTCTATACAATGCCGTGAAACAGCAAAAATCCTTTTTTTGTAAAAATTTATTTTATTTTTTTTATTGATGATCATAAGTTTTTCCTTGGAATAGACAATTCCTGTTGCATTAATTTAACTCCGTTAAATAAAAAAAAATTTTTTAATTTACTATAGTTGGGTTCGGTCAAAGACATCCTAAATTTTGTGCAAATTTTAAAAGTATAGAAGTCATTTCTGTACAACCTTTTAAAAAAAATAGCTCTATTAGTTGATAGAATATGTCATTAGTTTTAATGTAATAAGAGATTTTATTTGGAGTTTTATTCTTTTTTTTAAAACATGTACTTTACTATGTATGTCCATGAGCGCTATGATCATTACTAAATTTAGACTAATTCTCGACCATCATATCTAAATTTGGCAGTAAGGAAAATAATTTTTTAACCAAAAAAATTTTTAACGAACCCAGGGCTGGCTTGCATAACTCAAATGAGCACTTGGCTAAACTGACTAAACTATTTAGTCATATTTTAAGTCGAGTTTAGTCAAGTTTAGTCAAGATGATTATTACTAAATTAGGTTTTTAACCTCCTTTATGCTTGCCAGCCCTGAACGAATCACGAAATTGCAATTTTGAAATTTGAGCACGTGGCACAGCAACAGGAGTCTTTAGACAGAGCCAACCATATTAATATTACACAAATTTTATATTGCGGCCAATTTCAAAAAATGTATCAAATTTTAAAATTTTTCAATTCGCTAAAAATGCAATAATATTTTAAACCCCGCAATGTTACACAACATCAATTTTATTATTGTAAAGGTTTGTACTCAAGCTACCATTTACTGCGCCTCGTGGCAAATTCAAAAATGTGTCAAATTTTGAAATTTTCTATATACAAATAATATTTTTAAATCCGCGATGTCACACAACATCAATTTGCATATTTAATATATTTAATTAATACCTAAAGACAATTTATTGGAATGAATACTTGAATAGTGAAGGGGTAAAAATTATTTTGAAAAATGACCAAGTTATTAAGTACTTAATAACTCTATTGGTGACTTATTAAGTGTTAAAAACACAACTTGCAGATCTCTTATTGGTATATATATAGTAAAAATTGTTTAATTTGATAAACAAGTTAAATAATTAATTTAGTTTAAGTGATGACGTTGCATAAAATTCAGTGTGCGGAGTGTGCGTGCTAACCAAATTTGATAATTATTTTCCAAATCTGCCGAATTTGGTTAGTGCAGCATATTCCGCACACTGAATTCTATACACTGAGATTATAGATGGGTGTCTAAACTAAATTATTTAGACAATGTCTAAAATATAAATTAATTTAGACATTTAGATAATCATGGTCTCAATTGTCTAAAATGCTGAAATTGAATTTTTTGATAATTTACTGAATTTTGTGGATTTTGTGTATATCCACGTGACTTTTAGTTGTATTTAAAGCAAATCATTACTATTTATATTAATTTAAACATTTAGACATTTTTGTCTAAATACTATTTTGACTTTACAATTTAGACGCCCATCTATAGTTATCAATAATAATGATGGTGGCCGAAACTACCTTACTTAGTGGACCGAAATTGCCAAAATTAATTGGCCCACTAATTTTAATGAATTATTTTAAAATAGATTGATTCAAATACTTATTATATGTATTGGACGAAACTACCTTTTTTTTTAAATAATTTCAGCCACCATCACTAAATAATATCCTTTATCAATTAAAGAATTTTAAAATTAAAAATGTACACAATCTTGGTTTAGCAGATAGTTGGGTAATTAGAAAAAATCCGTTATTATTATATTAATACAGTCAAACCTGGCTTAATTAAATTATTGTAATAACGGATTTTTAAAATTTTGCTTCATATATTAATATAATAATAAAAGCATAAAAATTCGTTATATTGAGAAGAATGTTATTATTATTAATTAAATCGATGTACACTAAATTGAGAATTCAGTGTGTAATATAAATATGACATTAAAAAAAATTTAGGAATTCGATTCGCTTTGATTTGATTCTAACCTCTAATGTATAAATGAATTAACCCAATGAAAATTGTTTCGGTGAAAATTGTTTCAATGAATTACAATTAAAGTTTGTTGAAACGCAATTTCATGTGCATATCATCTTATTAAAATTATATGCGGAATGAGTAATACTGAATACATACGAAATATACATAGGTAATAGAAAAACAAACTTTCCCATACCTAAATGGTACAAAGTAGTAGTAGTAGGTGTTTTCCGCATTAAAGTGCTAATGTAAGTAAGGGGCTTGGACAAAATAATGCATGGTCTACACATTCAAAATATCACCATTTTCTACTCGTAACGATTTTTTTATTCTTATAGATAGGTCACATGATATTTTGAATTATTATTTTTGAAACGCAAGATCCGATCATCGAAATTATTTCATGTATGTCATTTAATATTAACTAGCGCGTAACAATTTGCGAAGCAAATTGTAGATTTTGTGTATCGAGAATAAAGATTTTCTGAATGTATAAGTAATTTTTATTTTACGTGTTTTTACAGGATGTTTTTTCCAGGTGAATAAAGCAGCAAATAGTAAATTTTGAGTTAGTGCGGGATGAGTCACTCTTCCTTTCGTCCACCCACATTAGTGCCCTGCAGTCAGTATAAACTTTCTCCATCCTTCCAATGGAATGACACAAAACTGATATATGTAGGGGTGTCAATGCTCGTTGTAGCATTTATAATACGTTCGTTTTTTTTTTCTCCCCCGAAGTAGTTGTAAGCGATGTCTTCGGTGTTCTTTGCTCTCTCTTTCACGAACAACCCGCATCATTAGGCGTCGACGCGCTCTCAACCTTTCAGCATATATGGCAGCCTCAGAATTATCGTTATCGTTAGTGGACATAATGGTGTTATAAGTAGATTATTATGATTGTATGTAGATAAGTAGATAAGTAAATATTTAATAGCAGAGTTGCGGTTATATTGATAGCAAGATTTATTTATCATAAGTCCTCGAGCACTTTATTTACAATTACAATCGAACGATAGGATATAATATATATTACAACATACATGTCTCGTGAGAACACAAACCCTTAAATGTTTCATTCACTAATTTAGTTTTCTTGCAAACTAATTTTTAATTCTTAATTTTCAACATGTATATGTTCAAATGTTCTAATTTTTAATTTTTTTCTTTTTTCGTCACGCATACGTCAAACGTTTTATTTATTTTTAAATTTTTTTTTTTTTTTTTTAGATTTCCAAACGTTTATATGGTCAAACGTTCCATTAAATTTTAAAATTTTGTTGTCATGTATACGTCAATGTGTACGTCAGAATGCATTACTTTTATTTTTATTGGAGGGAGCTATCACGGGGAATAACATCTTGTATAATTAAGATTAGTCAGGCATTTGTGTGCAATTTATTGTCTACTAATTTTAGAATGATCAACAAATTTAAATAAAAGTTTTTTCTTTTTCAAACAGGGAACAAAAATAATTTACAATAAATAATAATAAATTATAAACTTTATATTCAATTATTAGAAGGTAAGATTTAGTAGTAAACCTCACAATTAAAAACTTATTTATTTAATAACTAATATTTCAACATATATTAATATTATATTAATATTTTAGTAATTATTATAGATTTAAAAATGAATTCATTCATCGAAACAAATAATAAT